GTGTGTGTGTGTGTGTGTGTGTGTGTGTGTGTGTGTGTGTGTGTGTGTGTAATCTACATGGCAATTTTCATTTTGGACAGGCATCCTGCTGGCTGTTCAGTCTCCTGAAAGTCTCTGTGCCTCTTCTCTTCTCCCGACCCTCACCAAGACTCTCTCCTTTGCTCTCACAAGCACTGTACAGCATACCAGACCCAATTCTAATTGAAGGAGATATTGCACAGCAGCCTCTAGTTTCCCCTTCAGCAGTCACCTTTTGGTCTCAAATTTACACTGTCATTATTCTGCAGCTGCTAAGGCTTGTCCTGCATCCCAAATGTCTGATAAAGGCTTTATCAGGCAGAACAATAGTGGGCAGTCTGGGTTTCCTAGAACAACAGATGGAAATGCTAATGCCTCTGATGTACTGCACAGTGGCCAGTGGAAATAAATCTGTCCTTTTTCATTAAATAAGAGACATGAACTCCTAAGGGGCCTGCCATCCAAACTTTTCAAGGCCTTCTTCTATTACCATTCTGGAAGCTGCTGGTGACTTAGCTCAGGCCTTAGGACTTTTTTACATGTGCAATCGCCCAGCGCTGCGATGCATGCAGTTGTATAAGCAGCAAAATGCATGTCAGCGCAAAGAAAAATGGCAGTGGCATGCATTTCAAAAAGCGCAGTGTCACCATTTTCTGCACGCTGACGTGCATTTCACCACTTGTACAACTGCATGTAGTGCAAGGCAGTGCGCATCAGCTCGCATGCGGAGCAGACTCGATTAATAGTCTGCTCCAAAGTGGCAGATCTCCAGCATGTCACAGGACAGAAAGGTATATGTATAAATGCCCTTAGAGCACAGGGGTCACAAAATAGGAATATGGTTTCTATCAGTTGTCTCAGTTTGTAGGGGAACTTTTTGCTTATGAAGCTGTTGGTAATCATGTCAGCATTTGCAGTATAACATGCAACTTCCAGTGCACACTTCCTTAACAACACGAAGCAGTCAGCCTACTCTCACCATATTGCTTAGCTACTGATGAATAGCAGTTGGAGCGGTCAAGCTTCCAGATGGCAAAGACCACATGCTTTGGAACAAAGATGGAAGCCGTTTCCATTGCTGTGTTGATGTTGTAGCTATAGCATGAGCTTTCTTTAGGGTAACAGGGTAGTTCTATACAGAGGATGGTGCTACGTGCTGGGATGCTTCCGAAAGCAATCCAGCCAGCGGCCATTTGCCAGCTGTGTCAACAGCTATTTAGCACACACTCCCCAGCTACTGCCTCAGTTGCTTGCCCTCAGTTACACTACTGCTGCTTAGTCTTTAGAGCAGGGGTTGGCAACATGCAACCCGAAGGCCAGGTATGGCAATGGAGCAATTTGATCTGGCATATGAATGTGGGGCTTTAGCAGCAGGTGCTTTCCCTATTTCACTGTAAGGAGAAGTGGTTGGAGCTTTTCCCATGTTGCTGCAGGGAGGAGCAGCAGCAGCAGCAGCTGGATCCTAGTGGCTACCCACCCTCCACCTCTCACATGAGGTGGTCATTTCGACCTTCAGCATACAATGACTGCTAACCACTGCTCTGAAAATGTGCTCTTCCATCAGGCCATGCTTGTTCATGGTTTCAGATATGAGAAAGTGAAACTTTTGCAAGAAAATTTTATTTAGGGACAGCTGATCCATCTTATCATCCTTCTTCTCTGTTCCCACCATGCACTTACAGGCAGGCAAGTAACTGTACCTGCCAAAACCAGAGCCAAAGCTGCTCAGTAGTGTGGTAGTTCATTCAAAATGCTACAGCTCTCTGGCAGTGGCAGGTCAAATATGCTGTTGATTATTAAATCTTGCTGAGTATACTCAGACAACTTTTATCATTAAGATCCATCAACCAAACCAACAGCATTGTACTACAGGTATTGCAACTTGACAGAATCTTGCTTAATAGAATCAGTTGGGTAGTAGCATCAGAATCTGAAACTGTTCTGTGTATGCAAGGTTTTCCCCCCACCATCTATCAGAATCAAATCTGTTTGCATGCATTCACCTGTAGCATCTTGAGCACTGAATGAAGTATGTGAACACATGATAAAAGACTGTGGGCAGTTATGTGCTGTAGGTATACTCTGTTGGTCATGACTATAATGAAGTGCAGTTTGTGATCAAGTGAGTCACTGGGGCAAAGCTTCTAGTATAAAACACAATTATGCCAGCATGTTGGCAAAATGACCTTTATTCTGTATAGCTTATTTTATTTATGGGGTTCTCCGTTAGGTTGTACTGGGAAAAGTACAGTGCTGCCTTTCTAAGTGGTGGCCATGTGGTGTAGCTGTTTCATGAAAGTCATCCAAGGACACACCTGGGCTCAGTCATAACACACGTCCAGTTGGGCTGAATTAAAATAACATGAGCAACCTTAATTGTGGGATTTCTTATCCTCTAAGAGCTTGATCGTGATCTTGCAGCCTTAATAAATTCTGTGTGTGTGTGTGTGTGTGTGTGTGTGTGTGTGTGTGTGTGTGTGTGTGTGTAAGAAAGACAGAAAGAGAGAGAGATAATGTGTGTATGTAATATGTTGTGTGTGTGTGTGTGTGTGTGTGTGTGTATATATATATATATATATATATATATATATATATAAAAAAAATACGTGTATCCATGTCATGTATGTATCTAAAAGGCTGTATGTTTGTTCTTTTTCTACAGCTCCATCCAGTAGAAAACCAGGTGACCCTCTCGTTATTTCTGATATCAAGAAAGGAAGCGTTGCTCACAGGTGAGAACTCTAAACTCACAGCAAAAGTCTGTTGCTTCCAGCTTGTATTTCATTTAACTTCTGCACATGTGGAAAGTATTATAAGTGTTCATCTCTCAAGCTTACAAATCAACTGAATGATTTTATTGGAAGAATAAATATGTTTTTAATCTCCAGTAGTTTAGACTGACTGTTTCCCATACACAAACCTACTTCAATTTTAAAATCATTAAAAGGACAAGTTTGAATGTGCCTTAATGTAATGTTAAAATTGTAGTAAAAATGACCATGTAATATTGTTTATTTGTTAACAGAACTGGAACACTAGAGCTTGGTGATAAACTGCTTGCCATAGACAATATTCGACTAGACAACTGCTCCATGGAAGATGCTGTTCAGATCCTTCAACACTGTGAAGACCTTGTAAAGCTAAAGATCCGCAAAGATGAAGATAACTCTGGTATTACAGTTCTTGCACTTACAAATCTTTTAGAGCATAGAATTGTTGTTTAATAGGTAGATTGCAGTTAAGGACTTTTGTTAAATGTTGTTTACATTTATTAATGACAATTAAAAATGTCAGAGTAAGTTAAACATAAGGGGCTGTCCAATCTGAAATTATCTCCATGGCAATGTTGCCAACAGGGACTTTTTTGCAATAGAAACTATTCTGTATTCCAGTAAGATGCTTTCCCCTCATAACGTTGGTTTTGCTTTCATGTTGCCAGCTAAGTCTCTCTCTCCGATTCTGGGAATCATGCATAGGGTGGCTTCTTGTATCCCATGAATTGCCAACAGCCCTGTTCGTGATCCAGCAGTACAGTTAAGAGTATATTTAATCTTAAATCTATAATTTTGGCTTCTGTAGGGCTCATATGCCCAAAGTTAGATGGATTCTTAGATACTTTGCAGGTTCAGCCCATAAAGGTGAACTGAAATAAATACCATTGGGTATACCAGTTTCTACCCCCAGGTCACATGATCCATAGAAGTGCACACAGAGGGAGTTCTACTGGGCAATATAATACCAAAAAATTGGATCAGGTCAGTCCAATTACAATAGCTGCTGTTATTACTATATTTAGTCAAATACAAGACCCTGAATATAAGCTGACCACCCAATAATTGGATTCTGTATATGGACAATGTTGTCATTTGTTGTAATTTTCCAGGTATGGAATCTAAGTATTGTAGGGTTTTCTTGAACACCCCCCGCCTCACTGCTGCAACAAGGATAGCAGTGTCTGGGGTGGGGGGGAGTCAGGTGCCCCCCTTGCCCTCTGTTCCATCCACTTCTGCCCCCTGCAGCCTTCCTGCCCCCACTGCCACCCTCCCACACCCAGCTCTTTACAGCTTCTGGCCCTCCCTCCTGTTCCTTCCAGTCTCTGCCCCTTCCCCACAACTCCCTAGTCTCTGCCTCTTCCCTAAACTTCTTTGTCTTATATTTGAGTAAATACAGCAATTACTATTTGTAGTACAGTAACACCTAAGAGAGAGCCATAGATCCCAGTGTGGCAAAACCATGACAAAAATATGGTCCCTCACTGATGAGTCTTTTATGGAACTCAAAGAACCTCTGCCTTAGGAAGGGAGAAAACTGAAGACCATTTTAGACAGGTAACTGAGAACAGGTGTTTACTGTAAGCAGTTGGAGATTTAAGAGCTTTTCTCTGTACACAGTTGGAGGTGTCTTTTAGACATTTATAGTACCCTTGGCCTCTGTCTTCTACTTTAGAATCATAGGAAAAGTAGGGATGGAAGGGTCCTCAGGAGGTCGTCTTGTCCAGCTCCTTACTTAAGGTAGGATCATCTTTGACTAAATCATCTCGGTCAAGAGCTTTTTTCTGTCTGCCCTTAAAAATTTCCAGGGGTAGAGACTCCGCAGATTCTCTGGGTAGCCTGTTCCAGTGCTTAACCACTATAGAAAGCCATCCCAAAGTAAATTTATCCTGCTTTAATTTGAGATTTTGCTCCTAAGTCCTTGTCCCCTGTTGCTGCAAAGATGTCTTTCCCCATCCTCTTTATAATCTCCCTTCAGGTATTTAAAGACTGTTATCAAATACCCATCTCTGTCTTCTCTAGACTAAATAGTCCTAGTTCCTTCAACCTTTCCTTATACGTTCTTGCACATCCCAGACCTCAAGCAATTGTTTTTGCTCTCTGCTAGACTCTTTCTAATATGTCCATATCTTTCTGCAAGTGCAACGTCCAGAGCTGGACACAGTAGTCCAGGTGAGACCTCACCAATGCCAAATAGGGTGGAAGGATCACTTCCCTTGATTTGAAGGTGACAGTCTTGTTAATACAACCCAATATGCTATTGGGCTTTCATGACTCGTATTCATCTTATTGTCCACTGTAATTTCCAGCTCCTTTTCTGCACTACCTGTAGCCTAACTAATCATTCCCCAGTCTGTATGTGTGTGTGCAATTGTTCAATCCTAAATGCAGCACTTTATACTTGTCTTTGTTGCATATCATTCAGTTGATTTCAGACTACTTCAACAGTTTATCAAGGTCATTCTGGATCCTCGCCTTACTTGTCAGTGCCTGCAATCAACTTGCTATCATCTGAAAATTTGCTAATCAATCCTATCACTCAAATCATTAATGAAAACATTAAACAGTACTAGGCTCAGGACAGACCCCTAGGGAGCCCCATTTGATACCCCCTCCCAATTAGACATTGAATCATTAATGATTAATCTTGAGGACAGTGATCCAAGCAGTTATGGATCCACCTTACACCTTCATCTAGCCTGTATTTTTTTAGCTTATTAATAAGAATGTCTGGAGAGACATTGTCAGAAGTCTTGCTAAAATCAAGGTATATCACATCTGCTGGTGTGTCCCCCCCCAATGCATGGAGCCTGTCCCCTGTCATAGAACGAAATCAGGTTGGTCAAGAA